TTCCGCCTGAGGAGCGTGTCCCTGAGGCCAGGGCCAGGCCTGGGGATGGAGCACTCGTGGCCAGCGGAGCACTCGCAGGAACTGCGGCCAGGCTCGGTGAAGGCGGGGGCAAGCAGCAGCCCCGGGGAGCGCCACTGTAAAGTGTTAAAACCTGAAAATCTTCACCTAAAGTACTGGGGAGGGACTTTCTGGAGAGAGGAGCCCTACTCAGTGAGTACCTGCTTTGGAGGCCTGGCCTTCTAGGCAGACCCGCTCCTCCTGGGCCATTCCTGCAGTTACTTCTGAAGCTGGGCCGGGCTCTCTCCAGCTTGGTGGGGTGGCTGAGTTAAAAAGCAGCCGGACTCTCAGAGAAGAAATTCCCCACTCTGTCTGAGGGTTACAGGCAGTGAGACCGGGCATTTCGTGCGGTAGGTCTGGACCCGGGGCACAGTGTGGGCCCCCCAACCCTCTCCCTCCACAGGAGGCCTGCCAGTGGTGGAAGCAGAAGGGGTTTCCATCACTCTCCTCACCCTTTTTATCAGAGCACCTTTTCAGTGTGAGCAAGGAGCACCCCAGGGGCCAGCCAGAGGGGTGGGGATGTGGGGCGGCTGATTCTGTGGGGGCTTGTGCCCCCAGACCCTGAAGGGCTTCACCTGGGAGGTGGTTTGCAAGTTTCAGTTACAGCCCGCCCCCTCTCTGCCGAAAAGAAACCAAGAGGCCCTGTTCGGAATCTAGATTTGGAAGAAACCTGTCTGGTTATTGTGCAGAAATGCCGAACCTAAGGGAGGGCAATCTTTGCCACGTGAACACAACAGTCTCCGGATGACAACTGCTGCTGGGCTGCTCAGCCCCAGGCAGGAAGCACCTAGTGAAAGTTTCAGGGCTGCCAGGAGGAACTGCACAGTGAGGGTATGCGCTGAAGGGGCTCCCTCACGGCGGGGTCCTAAAGAGACCCAGGGTGTGTTTTAGGAACAGCACCAGGCACCTGTAGGACCAGATGGCCAGCGTGTGCTTTCCTTGACCCGGTTTCTCCTGTCTGAAATCCACACGCAAAGCCCGTGCTTAGTCCAGGAGATGAAAACTGGATTTAATAATAGAGATAAATTTCTATTGAGATGGCTTCCTTCCCTCTCCAACTTCCTATAAGCCCTCAAGGAAAAATAATTAAAGTGGTGATCTCCTGGGGAAGGGGGGGCATTAAATGCTCCCTTCCCAAAGAGTCCAGAGACTGCCCTGGGGGATGGGGGGCTGCTGAGCACAATTGGCCCACCAAGCAGATCTGCCCCAACCAGCACAAAGTCACCTGAATCCCAGCTGAAGCTGGGGTGCCGCAAGACCCTCAAAATCATCCAAGCATCTGCAGCCCTGGAAAGAGGGTGCTTCATTTCCTCCATCGGTGGACGGGGAACTCCCCCAGAGGCGCCTCGGACACTCAGGAAATGAGATCTACTTCCCACCACAGAGCCCGGCAATGCGGGAACAAGTTCCTTCACTCACTTTTGGGTCGATCTTCTTGAAGGCTGCATCCTCCTCATCAACCTCGAAGTAGATCTCCGTGGTGGTAATGGACAGTGTCCCCTTGGCCACCACCACGGGAGCGATGAGCTGTGCCTGGGTGCTCAGGACTACGGGGCCTGCAAGACAAAGGTGGGGTCAGACAGCCCTGGGAAGCTACCACGAAGGACCTCAGGCTGCATAAAGAGCCCATAGGTGCAGGACCCAGTCTCTAAGGCCCCGATTGCCACAAGACATCTCTGGCTTTCAGGGGAGGTTGGGGGCAGAGAGGGACAGCCTTGAAGCCCAAGGCCCCCTCAGCGCAGTGCTTCAGCAGGGCAGTAGTGAGACAAGAGGGAACCTGGACCTCAACACTGGAATCCCAGTTACAAGAGGTTCTGGCCTGCAGGGGACTGAGCTGAATTTCACGGGGACACTGCCTTCCTCCCACAGGACAGTGGGGTCCTGAAGTTCCCCAAGGGGAGCAGGCCTTGTGCAGCCTGTCTTCACCCATGGGGAGAGTAGGTGTGGGCACTGAGCCAGGCAGAAGTGCAGAGCCCATAGCTTTCAAGAGGCTGAGCTGATGGGCCAACAAGGAACTGGGTGCTGGCTTCCAGAGCTCCCCACCCCCCAGCTCTGGGTGATGTGGGAACCCTGCACTCATGTCTGAGAATGGGGGCTCAGGTGGGGAGCTGCACTGCCCTGAAGCAGCAGCCTGGGGGCCAGTAGATCCGCTCTCCACAACCAGGGTACACTGGGCTCCAGTCCACCAGTCCCCCATCAAGACTGCAAGAGTCTTAGCAAAGGCTCAGTCCCCCACAGGGAGCGGGCCGGCACACTGGGAGGCTTTGAGAAGGGCTGGCTGGCTAGCTCTGGGGGCCGGCTTGGGTCTGAAGGACCAGTGGCTTCATAGCCTGCACACCCAAGCTGGCCTGACCCTGCTCTTCCGCCTGAGGAGCGTGTCCCTGAGGCCAGGGCCAGGCCTGGGGATGGAGCACTCGTGGCCAGCGGAGCACTCGCAGGAACTGCGGCCAGGCTCCCCTTTGCGCTGGGCAAGCAGCAGCCCTGGGAAGCGCCACTTTAAAGGGCCATCCATCTTAATCTAGCCGACTCTGGTAATGACGCTGGACCTCTTGTCCGATTACAAGTGGGTTTGGGTTTCTATTCCCCAGGCCCTCCTTTGTGTTTGTGGGAGGGTCTGCTCGCTGGCGGCACCCCCTCCCAACCCCCTGCTGCAGGCCGGTTCCAGCCGCAGTGCTTTAACTCTTCAGACCCCAAGCTGCTGCTCCTGGAGAGCAGGGGTGGGGGGTGGGGGAGGGTGCAGTAGTGTTGGCAGAGGCAGCTCCAGCCTCCCTGGGGCTGGCTCCCCACTGGGGAGTTCTGCTCTAGCAAGTGTACAAGAAGGGGCACTGTATGAAATGTGGGGATTCAACCCGACAATTCGCTGGGGAGGTTGAAAGGAAAAAACAAAAAACCTGACACTTTCTCGAAAGCATGAGGTTGCTTGTCCCCCATTCCTGGACTTTTTAATGGAAAGCACATTTTCTCCACCCAGTGATCTGCCCTTCAGAAGGGGGCCCTGCCTGGCTCTGCATCGCGCCACCAGTGTCCCTGCAGAGGGTCCACTCTTTCTGGGGGCTTCTGAAAAGGGGACATGGATACCAGAGTTGGTCCTCCTTTCCACAAGCCCCACTGGACTTGGCCAGGCCTAGCAGCCGGGCCTCTCCAATTACAGCAGCCAGTCCTGCTGCCCCACTACTTAAGGAGGACCTGGCCCTTTTGTTGTTGCCTGTGTGGATCAAACCTGCCTCAGAGAGGCCCCAGGATAATCCAGCACAACCCCCTGAGAAGGGTTAGGTTTAATCTCCTCTGGGTTTAGGGACCTGATATTAAAATGTTTACACAAGGCGGGATCTCACAGCCCAGGGTCCTCCTTAGGGAGTGCAGGGGCCTGGGGGATTTTTCTCCAGAAGGGCGGCTAACAGGCGGGCTCCTCCTGCTTCAGGGCCCCAGTTTGTGGCTGGTGGTGGGGAAGACTAAATCTCCCTCTGCATTTGGGGTAGTAGTTGGGGCAGGGTTACCATGGAAGGTGAATGCATGCAGCTTCCTCCTCTCCTCTGTGCACACGAGTGAGAGGAATGGTGAACCAATGGACGGACAGCCAGCAGGAGCTTCTCTCAGGGGCCACTTTGTCTCACACCGGCTTGTGAAACCCCACACGGAGAGTGGCCACAGACAGCACAGCATAGCACAGCGTGCCGCAGGCTCTGCTTGTGAGCAAGAGGCTGCTTTCCTGGCACTGCCGGCCCCGGCTCTGAGCAGAGAGGACTCTCCTCCACAGCCCTTCACGGCTCCTTTCAGGTCTGCAGTAGGACAGGGTCCCAACCCAATTCTGCAAAAGGATGCCCTGCACTTCGGGGGTCTCAGGTCTGTGGAGACAGCGAGCCCCACCTGGACCTTGAGTGGAGAGTACCTGTGTGCTCTACACTTGAGACAGGGGCGACTCATTACACATATTCAAGAAGAGAAAGCTTTTTAAAATGCTGTGGGCTTGGGATGGGACAGTTCTGCGGAGAGTCACAATCCCCTTGTGCAGATCTGGGTAGCCCACACTGGTATTTTCATAGGGCTTGGGAGATGACAAAGCTCTCAATGTGCCCAGCTGGCCAGGAGCCCACTCGGCCTGTGTCTTGGGCTGTGGAGGGGGCCTGGCAGACATCTTGGAAGCTGCGAAGCTGAGCGGAGTGGGCTTATTGCTCCTCGAAGGAGGAAGAGAACGGCTGGGACCCCAGGATGTGGAGGCGGGACCCTGGCAGGGGAAGGCCACCAAGTGACTGCGTCTGCAACCTCAGCCACGGGTCTGCATGGCACAGGAGGGGCTGGTATTTTGGTGGCATGCAAAGTGGCCTTGTTTTGTCCATCTGGAGCGCCCAGGCCAGCTGCAGTGTCAGGCGGCCCCCACAAGTCGGAGCAGCTTGGGTTCTTCTCAGGTGGCAGGAGCGAGCAGCTTTGGGCAGAGATTAATAACACCCTAGTGATTAAAAGGCCACTACGGCAATTCAATTGAGAAACCCTGTTAAGCCCCCTTATAAATTCCAATATACTTATTATTATACCAAAGCCCAGCCAAGAATACGTATGGGGCCAAAGAGCTGAAACCTAATTAGAATTGGCATTGTTATAATTATATGATGATGCTCAATGAGCAAAAAACGATACTTAAGTGTCCGTGGAATGATAATGCCTGTTAGAATGGACGTTTCTTAAACTTAGCCGATTTCAACAGCCTCCGCTGACTGTTCAATGTACTTTGGCCTCATGTCCTAGACTTATTTGGGGATAACAGGCATCGACTAATCTTGGTAAAATATGAAACCGAAAATCCTGACATTGTGGATAAGAAATAAAATCACTCCAAAATATTTCATGGTTAGCAGAAATGGACAATGATGTAAGTAAAAATAAGGGAGTACATTGTACAAAGAATTCAGATGGTGTGCCAACACGTGCCAATCACTGCTCTAAAGAGCCCCTGTTGGCACTATGGGTCAGGCATTGGGGAGCGGGAGGCTAACAGAAAGATCTGTCTGAGAGTGGAAGATAAAGCTGTCTACTCCCGAAAACAAGGTAGTCTCAGAGACCTGGGCTTTAGGGCCTTATCTCATGTCCAAGTGGGGCACTATCAACCTCAGGATGACCTTCCCCTACACCTGATAGGATGCCAGCATCCAGCACCCATCTCAAAGGTCTCTAAGGAAGCACAGGCACCCTCCCCTCCGGCCTGCCCCCAGAGGCAGTTTTGGAATCCAAGGACAGCTTGGAGCACACAGGCAAGGCATGAAGACCTTTGGGTGCACACTTGGGAGAGGGAGGTTGGTAGAAAACAATTCTGCCAAAGACCCTGCGTTTCTGCCACCAAGGAGAGAGTCAGACTTCCGTAGGCCACGGGGAAGGTCGACCATCCTTTAGGACTTCCCCCTCCTCCCACCCCCATGGACTCTCTTCCAAAGACACAGCAGCATCAGTTAAGGTCCAGACCCCCGAGGGGGCCTCTCAAAGTGTGTGCCCAGAGTGGAACCCTCCAGGTACTTTTCAAAGCCCCCTTGGCTCTTGTCAGAGCAACTGTCTTCTGCAATCTTCCAGCTTTACTCTCGCTCCGAAAGCTAGCCACACGCTCTGTGCTGGAGTCCGGAACACAGGACCTGAGCCATGAATCAAATTCATAATCTCCAGGCGTGTATGTGAATGTATCCATGTATCTAGGACGTGTGTGTGTGTGCCGCCTGCTGCTCCTGCACAGATCCTTAGGTGACCAAGTGAGGCAAAGGCTGCTTTTGGCCCCAGGGTGCAGCGCTGCAGAACAGAAGGGGTGCTGAGATCACGGGGGGGGGGGGGGGGCCCGCAAACCTCAGGAAGTGCGGTCCCCACCCTCAGCCATGGGCCACAGCAGGGCAAGGAGCCATGGTGCAGCGGGCTGAGTGCCCGACCTCTGAGGGACAGGAGACAACGGCTCCACAAAGAGCCACAGCCTGGGTCATGGGGAGCTCCCCGAGCCAACCCCTTCAAGGGCAGTGGGTGGGCACCACATCAAAACTATCTGCCAAATGCCAATGTGCCCCACCCTCTCTGCATAGTGAGCAAGTATACACTACAGTAGGTCCACGTGAGGCCTGTGTTCCTGTGTCTTTGCGGTGGGAAGTACACCACAGTGGCCTGGGCTGGCAAAGCCCGCCTGTTCTGGTCCTTGTCCCTTGCCTTCGGTCCAGCAGGAGAGGGGAGAGACTTGCGTTTCTCATTATGTGACTTTGTTCCCCTGTAGGCGGAGCTCGGTGCCACCTCACTGGGCAGAAGGGCACTTCCTACTGTAGCCTGCTGGTGGCCGAATGAAGCACCAGCCTGGCTTGGGCTCCAGGCGGGCCTAGTCCTCCCCCACTGTGCCTGCCTCTGTGCTGCAGAAGGAGCACTGTGGACGGCGGGGCCCGTGGCTGCCGGAGGCTGGCAGTCCTTCAGTCCGAGGCAGGGCCACTAGGAGTTGGCACCGTGGTGTGTGTGTGTTTGTAAATCTTTGCCCTATTTGGTATCTGGCATGTGACATGTGAGGCATGTGTGTGTGCATGGAACTGAACACAGGCTGCAGACA